GCAAATAGAACGAGTGTGTTTTAGGATCATGAAAGTGGATGGAAATTTTCTATGTGGGCTTGTGTCTGTTCACACCAAAGACTTTATATAACGATGGACGAAATGAGTCTCCCCTTTAGTAAAGCCAAAGGGTCTTGATCGCCCCCTAATGGCTGGCTGCAGTACAGGTCATACACCACGTACACGTCAAATAATTTCTTCTCAAAGATGGTTTCTGCCATTTTATGTATTTTGTCATTTTCCCAGCATGTTTAGTTTTAATTTTCCTATTTGATGCTTTAGAAACGGTGGTGAAAAACAGCGTGAGATATCGTTATTGACAGCTGAGACTGACTTGCGATTGTGCAGACTCCAGCTGAAAATGCACAAGGTGGCTGCGTTTGTATCCGGCTGGATTGTGTTGAAATGATTTCTCGATAGTGGTCACAGTGCGCCATCTTTAATTACAGTCTATGGTTGTCACAAGTTCTCTGTAGGATAATTACATGTATTGTATTGTAGCGTTTTAATGTAATTTTTCCTGGACATGACTTCTGCTTCATTTGACATTTAAATTAAATTTTTTTGTTGCAATGTGAGGATTTATCTAGACTTGAGAGCTCTTTTGAGTATCTAACATTTTATTCTACTAAGTCACATATTCAGTTGCATGGTATCAAACAACACAGTTAGGTTTAGGAATTGGGATTTGGGTTAGGCAATGCAAAATTTCCTCAAATTCTTGTTTCAAGTTCTTTATACATGACAAAACCATGTGTTCTGACCAGACATCGCCTGCCATTGTTTCATAATTAGCACATGCTTGAAAGGGGTATGTGTGTTGGTTGGGGGGTGGCACGACACACCAGCTTCCAATCAAACATCATGACAGGAAGTCATTGGTGTGTCACTGACTATTGTCATGCCTGCCAGTCATCTGTGTGTTTGTGTGTGTGTGTGTATGCACGCACCAGTGAACCCTGTTAATGTGTGTGTCCCCATACAGTGTCCATCTTCTGGTATATTTCTGTGTGTATGTGTGTGCACGAGTGCTCCTTATCGTCGCTCACCTGTCAATCACCCATTCCCTCTGGGATCCGTTTGCCAATGACAGCAAAAGGAGGCGTGTGTAAGGAGTGGCAGAGGGGCGGAGTGAGAGAAAAGCAGAAGAATAGGAAGAATAGGTGAAGTGAGAGTCACAGATGTTTGCGCTCGTTTTCTCCTCATTTGTCAGTTGGTTCTACCTCATGGACTATTCAGAGGCACAAGTGTGAAACAGCCCCCTGCTCACTGCAATCAGACAGCCTGTCTGTGTAAATATTAATGCACTCTGTGTGTGGGGGGGGGTTGTAGTTGTTTATTGTTACAAATAGTTTATGAACAGGAAATAGACCTACTGTTGATAATCCAGGTAATGTCATGCTGGTCAGTGTCAGGTCAGAAGGCATAGCAGCAAAGAGACTTGCCGATAATTTTACTCAGAATTGCTTCTGATACTTGATATCTTGTCGTATGCAAATCTGCAGATCCGATACCATGTCTTAGAAACTGCAAATTCCGTTCTCTGAAAAATAACTTCTTCAATGCTCCAAACAAGCAGTTGTGCTGTACTGCCGCTGACAAGTACTGTTTTTAGAGCACCAAAGAAGAAGTGTTTTCCAGTAGTGCAGCGTTAGCCAGTGCTAGCTCATATATTAGGTAATATTTCACAGTGGGAAGTCCCTACATGCACTGTATAGCTGCTTTCAGACATGCACTGGACTCCGCAGTTCGTCTGTATTTTCTCCGGAGGAGGTTAATGTGTAAGAAAATGTCAGAGGGAGACGCTCCACAGTTTCTACAGACTTTATCGCCCGGCCTCCTAGTATAAAGTCCGTAGAAATCCAGGAGAAGTCGATGTGTGAACACAGCAGGGGGTCTGCTGCCAAAGAGACACAGCAGTCAGGCTCAAACGGTCTCTCTGACCATCTGTGGCCATGGCACGCGAAGTGAAAGTTTTTGAAAGATATGTCATATGGACAGTGTTGACATTGATAGAGTGTTCTACTGTACCTGCTGCCACTTGATCCGTTGTAATGGAGCTGATATTTAAAAATATATCAGAGGAGATTAGCTGGACATGTGAGTCCTCTCATATAGTCTGTGTTTTTTAGCCAATAAGAAAAGATATTTTACTATTTACAGCAGTTTTTGAGGCTGTACATATTGTTTACTTCGAACTATTTGGTAACTCAACAACTTTTTCCTCCGACCTTTTCCTACACAGATTGAGGTTTTAAAAGAATCTGTTCACATGTTTGTAATCACATCTTTCTCACATGCAAATGAGTGAGCCATACACTTTCCATACAGATTGTGGTGTTAGATCTTGAATATTCATGTTTCGTTTCCCACTAATGAGGTAATATATTCATTCTAACTGGCTGCTAATCCAGTGTTCTTGTGAAATGATGCTCAAATGATAATCTTGTAATTCAGAAAAAAATCTTCTTCTGTGTTTATATGTTTGTGTGTGTGTGTGTGTCTGTGTGTGTGTGTGTGTGTGTGTGTGTGTGTGTGTGTATGTGTGTATGTATGTGTGATGTGCTGTTAAAGTTAAAGTTTTAAAGACTTTTCAGATTCAAGTGTCATTCCACAGCCAAATTGCTTTTCATTTGATTATATATTTGATTATTTTTGTGTGTGGATTTATCTGTGGATGCATGTCCTCATGATTAATTGTCTTAGATGAGTATTGTCTCTGACACCCTGTGTCCTCGGTCTGACAGCAGTGGCAGCAGAAAGGACCTTTTTTTGGTCTGTATTTGATTATTCCTTTGTCCTGCCATGTTGTGATGTCTCCAGTGTGTAGCCCTCTGTTTCTATTATTTTACCCTCACTCACAAAAGGGCCAGACGCACACAGAAAACCAAATGCACTGAAACTGTTGTACAGTATACAAAGAAAACTAAGTACACTCCTGGTCAGTATATCACTAACGTGACTCCTGCCTATGTAGCACCATTGCATTTCTGCAACAATTATGAATACAAACATTTCGGTTGTTGACGAGTGTTTGTGAGCGTGCGTGTGTGGATACCCGCTCTGAGCCTCTAGATATCCGGTGATACCGACAGGGGCCTGTAGGGTCTGATGGGCTGGGCTGATTTTTTTGCATGCTGCATGTCTTTTATTGAAAGATCATTTACAATGTATGTCAGGGACAGAGAAACAAACTCAGTGCAGCTGACATTAACTGCATCAGGCTCTAGGTGGGTTTGGACACAGAAAATATTGCATTTTGGGTTTGTGTGTTTGTGTGATTGTGTGAGAGAGTGTGAGTGTGAGTGCCCTTGTGGATAGACCAATAATAGCATCATCAAGAGGATCTAGAGAGAGAGAGTATTTCATTAAGCTCTATTTGTCCATTATCTTTGTACATCCCTTTTCTTCCATTTAAATCTCCCTCACAGATACTTCTATGTTACCACTGCATGTTGTTAACCCTTCCATGCAGGTGGTTGCTTGTTTGTTGAAATTGGTCCCCACTGTGAGGTAAAATGGAGATGACTGCATAAAAGAGAGGAGAGGATGGCAAAATAGAGGTTAAGGGTAGTGAGAGAAGTCGAGAGCAATGGGAAATGAACAGAATGTCAAACGAGATGTTGAGATGAAGGGGTGAAGGCAGGGTGAGTTGTGGGTAGAAAGAAACGAGTGTAATGAGAGTAAAGAAAGAGACTGAGAGGGAGGTGAAGGTAAGGAAGAATAAAGTTGACAGAGGGGTAAGTGAAGGTAAGTGAGGGAGTTGAAGGAAAGGATAAGCCTTTAACACTGTAGGTAGCAGTAATTAGAGCGAGGCTTGTCCCCTGTGAGGCAAACACACACACACACACATGAACACACACACTCACACACACTCACACACACTCACACACATTGTCTTAGCCTTTGGCTTCTATACCCCCAGTCCACATTAAGCATTTCAATGACACTTATTAGCTCAACACTAATATCCCATCATGTTTGTAACTACTCCAGTTCACAGACATGCATTATGCTAAAACATTCACTCACAAAATCACTGAATGTAGTTTTAAATAATGCACAAACAAGTGTTGTGATACTTCCTAGGATGTCACCAGCAGTGGGCAACAAAACAGTAGACAGTAGTAGAGAGACTATGAAATCAATAAATCCAGTGAATAAATTAAACATAAGGCATGTTATAAGGTCACAGTTTGCAGGCTGGACATATTAACTATTTAGGAGATTTGACTGTCCCAATTAACCACATCCTACTCACCACATAGCTGCTGTGCTGTAAAGAGATCCTCAGTCGAAGAGAAAATACTCACAAGAGGAGATAGAGGGGAAATAAAATAGCATTAACCGAAAGGTAATCCTGGCAGAAGTCTAGCAGTGGCAGCAGTGTAGGCTAAAAGATTGTGGCAGCAAAACAATCAGCTGGAAGTGGTATCTTAAGCTGTTTTCAGACATGACCTGTGGATAAAGTCCAGAGAATTGGGTCCGGACTTTATCCACAGTTTGCCTTTCACACATGCACAATGCAGCGGGAGGTTCTCTGCACAGACACATTCACAACAGCAACAAATCATTCACATTATCCAGATGAGAGGTGGCGCAGCAGGCAGAGACAGGAAGTAATGTATTACTGTAATTCTGCTGCTGAGATCACGTGATTTTGTTTACATCACATTAACACCGTCATCAGCTCTTATCACCACAAACTCTCTTGACATCTTCCTGTTGTCTTTTACGAGTGGCTACGCTTTCACTATGAGATTTTTTTTTACCCCGTATCTGCTGTTAACACTGGGAAGCCCCACAGTGTTAGCCATTGCCCTGGGGGCTAAATCATTGTTGGACAATAGCCAATCGGATCCGAGCTGTTTACATATTAAACAGGTCTTAGAAAGAAGAGTTATAATGAAATTATGTACAGTATGTTTTGTTTTTTTTGTCTTTCCACCCCCGTTTTCGATGTGTTTCTGATGTTTGTTTCACTGTTTGTCTGTGTTCAGATTTGGGAAGAAAAAAGAGGAGAAGAAGGAGGCGAAAGCTGCACTGCAGCGACAGAAGTCCGACATCCTGACTGATCATGAATTTGAGAGGATGAAAGAGGAGAGAGAAAGGTGAGGAACCTTCTGGTCTTAAGATGATGTTATTTTATTTTGTGCTCAGCCCCAGATTCTGTGTAGTTTTTGTGTCTTTTCTTAGTGTAGAAAATGATGTCTCTCTTTTTCTGTTTTCCTCCTCCATCATCAACTATTGATCACCCATCTTCCTCATTGAACCCTCTAAAACTGCTTCATTAACACCTCTGCCATTATTTCTCCTGCTCTGCATTTAATTTGTTCCATGCCCTCCATTCCTTCGATTCCTCTCTACTTCTCATTTCATTCCTGAGCTCTTAACTCATCATTCCTGTGGAGCGATTAATTAAATGATTTTTCTTATGCAAAAGCAAACATTGAATATACAGTGAAGATAAAGATTTATTAAAAATAATTTCAGTAATATTTATTGACTTAACCATCTCTCCATTTGTTTGTCAGAATTGAGGCAGGGCATCCTGAGCTGCGAGAGAACCAGCAAGGTGGCGGGTCCACGTATCCAGATGTTGAGGATGATGAAGCAGATCCCAACTACGCCAGAATACAAAACTTCAGGGATCGCGAGATGGGTCCAGTTCCGCAGCCACAGTCTCAGTCGCCTCCCTATAATACAATTCAGCACAGCCATGCTCACACTGCTTCCCCGCAAAACCCCTCTGCCTTTCCCGGACATGGAAATCATGCTAACGACCCTGGAGCCGTCCCTGATGATGACCACATTGACAGGCTGTATGCCAAGGTCAACAAACCGAGGGCAGCTGGGTCTACCTCTCCTCCTGCGTCTGCCGCTGTCAATGACAGGTAAGGCCCCATGACCTTCTCTGGATATAATATTCTGCAAAAGGCAGTGGCCTCTCATCTTTTAAGAGATATTCAAGATTAGGAGATATTCAAGTAAGGGTTGGTAATCCTGGAAAAGCAAGCAAGAGCAGGCTATGCTTAAACAAATGCAACCGATAAATCAGCCCTCTTGTCAAAGCTATGCCCCCTGAGCAGGCACTTCCTGACAATTGCTAGAAGCCGACTCTATCGTGAGTCGTTCGCTAACTCCTGGCGATTGTGTCTGCTTTAGCTGTTTGTCTCTAAAGTGAGAGCACAGGCAGGGTGCGAGCATGCAGGCAGTTCAGTGAGTGAAAGACCCAGCAAATTATATCCTTGGCTCCAAATGAAATGATTGGTAGCATTTATTACAGTCCTGCGAAGGCCATAGACACGGCTTCTTTTATTTTTTTTTTAGACTGCTAAAAGACTACTATCTACTACTAGCCTGGAATACGAAGAGGATTTCACTAAAGACAACACAAAGAGTTTCAGAAACAAATGACCAACCCTACCTTTATTGTGTTTCAACAGTTAAAAATGGTTCAGTAGTTCGACACAGTGACAGTATTGGTGCATCTTTGTGTTAAATTTAGTTTAATATTGACCAGGGGCGATCTCCTGGGTTCCTTGTAACGTTAAGCAACCAAAGATAACAGCATTGGCTCTATGTGGGATCACCCACCACACTGGCTGGTGTTGAGTGTGTGCTGTGGGCTGCCAGCCAGGTGTCAGAAGCCGACTGTGGAACATAGAATGTGCCCAACAAACTGTCAAATATAAATACCCCCACTCTCCCTTCTTTGAAACCCACTTTCAACACCACCCCCATCCCACCCATCCCTTTTCAGTTTTGCAGTGAATTATCTTGCTGATGCTTCATATTTCTTTCTACCTCCCTCACCCACTCCTAAATCAAGTTTTTCTGCCACAGGCCATGTGTGTGTGAGACAGAGAGAGAGAGAGAGAGAGAGAGAG